AGTTTAGATTTACGAGATCTAAATATCCGTCGCACAAGAAATATGTGTTTTCTTTAAGTAAAGAATTTGTAAAATTGTTTGAACTCCAGATTTCGCTGATACAGAGGTAGCCATCGTTGCCGACGAGAAACATATATCGATTAGTCAATCGGTGATTCCAATCGGGCATTCGATCAAATTCGATGGTTAACTTTTGATCGATTGGCTGATTGAGTGCCGCGAGTAGACCGATAACTGACTGGTCGTAGCCGTTCAACAAGTAAGTGATTGAACGAGCACCCGATCTTTTTTTTACTACCGATTTAACAAAACAAATCAAAGCTGCCGCATGTGTCGTACAGTTGACTTTTGGTATGTCTGTACGACTGTTAAAAACAAGGACAGTCCGATTTTCAATCTTAATACGTTTTGATATCATGAGTCCAAGATATATGCCTCTAGAGTAGCCTTCGGGAAATTCAAGTAACGGCTGATGGTTTTGTGTCATCAGTACTGGAAATACTGAATCACGCATCAGATATGTTATTATTTGGGGGGCTTTTGATGCCAGTGTCGAGGAATCAATGATTATAAGTTGTTTATTGTCTTTTTCGTACCAACATATGACAGACCCATGAATGACCTGATCCTTGACTTTCACTTGTCCTGTGATTTCTATCAATTGATCGAAATAATTGATTGGCGGTTGTCTTGTTTGTACTCCTGGTGTCCCAAACACTTCCGCCACAATAATCGGTTCGTTTGTTTGCAGATTTCTTTGTTGAACAATTGACTGAAACTCTTGATCTCTGAGCCCAATCTCTTCCCTTCCGTAAACCGATCGAAGTATTCCTGGCTTTCGATATAATAGTTTTGGAATGTTTGACATTTTGATTGATTGGTTGTTTGTCTCACTTCTTGTGGATCAAACAGTTTGTTTTGTTTTTTTGAATTTTTTTTATCGTTTATTTAAACGAAATTCTAAAAAATAACGATTTTTACAAAATAATTAAATAGTACTCATTTGATATTAAATAAATCAAATTTATTTATTTATTGAATTTTGCATTTGATTTTCACGCGCTTATTGTCTAAACTGATTGTCTGACTGATGATTGTGTGACCAACTCGTGACCATATTTATTGCATATATTTATTAATATCGTTTAAGTGTATATATAAATCAAAAATGAAAATTTACATTACTTTTCTCAAAAACAATTTCTAAGAAAACAATTAAACAAATCAATGATCTCAATATAATTATTATTATTTATTATTATCTATTTTTTGTGAATATTTTGTTTTGTTTTTCATCTATGAAAACAAACAAACAAAATAAACTTTTTAGTTAATAAAATGATTTTATAAATAATTATTTTTGTATTTTAATCCAATTTATTATTTATATTTTTTTAGTATTTGTCATTAATTTTACATTATTTATGAATATTTATAGAATATTTAGTAATTTTAACGAATTGTATTATTAAAATTTTTTTGATAAACATTTATATGTTTTTTTCAAATTGTATATTGAAAATGATGGCAAACATGAAAAATAAGTTATAATCGCGGATCGATTTCACGACAGTTCACCCGACGGTACGATTTGCCCGATGGCTGTTAAACAGTTGTATTGAACGTGTGGTTCCCATCGCTATCATCGTAGTAGACAAACAAACAAATAGACTAAATAATAATAATATCTAAAATCAAAATTTTTTATTAACAAAAAATAAATGATAAACTAAATGCACTAAACATATGATATAAGTATAACTAATCAGTTAATCCGTGGTTACTTTACTGTCCTATGAGTTACGCCGTAATCTTTTAATCCAACGGATCATTTGAAGCGTTTGATTTACAAACTGTATGTAAAGATGAAGACATCTCTTGAACTAATAGTTTGTTGCCATTTGTTTGTCTTTTGTCTTCACATCCATTTGATATGATTGTGTGATATGTTTGATAAGACAAAGTCTCGAAGTATATAGATTTGGACGCAATTTATGGCAATAAATAACTAATTGGCGAAAATTGTTTTCAGTCTTACGATTTGGACAAATCTTCGTCAAATTGATGTCCGCGAATTGAAACACACGCTCACATCGTTTGGTTACTGATTTAGTGACCAGTTTTACGAAAAACTAATGACTCGACAAATCATACATTTCGACGACTTTGCATTCATTTGCAGTCTTTGACGGATAAGTTTCGCCGATTGGACACAGATTTAAACGAAATGGTTACTCATTCTTATGAAAACTCTTGGGCTGTTGTATAGTATAGCTTGCTAGTATAGCTAGTTAGTCCCCGTAAATAACTTAATAAATACTACTATTACTTTTACTATTAACTATTATTATTTATTAATTAGTAGTAGTTATAGTAGTTATAGTAGTTATAGTAGTTATAGTAGTTATAGTAGTTATAGTAGTTATAGTAGTTATAGTAGTTATAGTAGTTATAGTAGTTATAGTAGTTATAGTAGTCATAGTAGTCATAGTAGTCATAGTAGTCATAGTAGTCATAGTAGTTATAGTAGTTATAGTAGTTATAGTAGTTATAGTAGTTATAGTAGTTATAGTAGTTATAGTAGTTATAGTAGTTATAGTAGTTATAGTAGTTATAGTAGTTATAGTAGTTATAGTAGTTATAGTAGTTATAGTAGTTATAGTAGTTATAGTAGTTTAGTAGTTATAGTAGTTATAGTAGTTATAGTAGTTATAGTAGTTATAGTAGTTATAGTAGTTATAGTAGTTCTACGTGTTCAATAATATAATTTAAATGTTTTTTTTCTTTACACGTGCAACAATAAATAAAATTAAAAAACTAACTGTTTAATTAACAATACTTTTTATTTAACCAATGCTAGCAGCTATACTATACAACAGCCCAAAAAGGGTATTGTATAGTATAGCTGCCACTTGTTGTTCACGCGATTAATATTTAATACAATTTTAAAGATAAATATATGAATGTCTCGTGAATTACTATTAATTTTATTGTAAATTAGAGAATATTTTCTTTGTTAAGTTTTTCTTGAAAGTTATGTTTCTTTTGAAAGCTATGACTTAAATTTAGTGAACAAAATGATTAATCTAAAGACATTATTTAGACTAATACTTGTCTCACAGGAGACAATGATACTACAATGCTAGCAAAAAAATACATTGACGTAAATGTTGTATAAAAAACAACAACAACAAAAAAAACAGGTTTCAATAGTGACATAATTTATGCATAAAAATTTTATTTTATACTATGGCTTAAATTTAATAATCAATGTTTAATAATAATTATAATAAATACAATTAAAATAAATCTTAAAAAAGCTTAAATCCAAAGTTGCTATAGTTGTTTAAGTGTGGAAATAATTTATTTTATTATTAATATTATAAATAATTTTATTTTTTAACAACTAATATATTGTAATTTAATATATATATATATATTTTTTTATATTGATATATAATATAGATATATATATTAAAAGTTATGTCTACAGAGATTTATAGATATGAAAGTTCAATAATAATAAAAAAAATTGGCAAAAATTTATCTAATTTAAGCACATATTTATTTAGTCAATTGTTACAACTATTATACAACAAAAATATATATATCATAGATATACAGTATATCATTAATACTGTTGTTTAATTGAATATATATACAGTATATAATATATAACAGTATATATATATAATAAATTAATTTTGTTATCATTTTTCTTTGTCTATTATAATATTTCCCATAAATGACTTTATAAATAATAATAAAAAAATAGTTAGCTATAAATCACTTATGTATTATTATTATTTATATTTCAATGATTTTTTATTGCATAATATCAATAGATGAACAAACAAACAAACAAAAAATAAAAATTTATTATTTGATGAAAAAAAAAGTTTCAATAAAAAGATTTATTGAATTCATTACAATTTGATGACATCTTTGACGAGTTTATTGTCTTTTTATTTCATTCATTAGTTTTTGCATTAATTAGTCACCACTCCGTCGGTTCACTTTGTCTTCATCATCGATGACACTGTAAGAGAGACAGTGTTTATCCATTCATTATTAACCACCGATTCTTGTAAATTGATTTAAAATAACATTAAGATATCTGTTATATCCACGACATCTCTTTCATTGACATTAATCACTTTAAAACTTTTTTTTTTTTTTTTAATCCGAAGACACTCTTTTGTTTAGTTGATGACAAACTATTGCCAAAAGTTCTTCAAGTTTGCCACACTTTTCCCTATTGTTGAATGCATCCAATAGTTGACTATAGTGTCGACATCACAGTATAAGGTCAACTCATCCAACCATTGATCTAACCATTCATCGGTTGTTTCTCAGTGATCTTCAAATTACTATTCAATTCATCAACTATTCGGCGATATCTTTTCGGATCTTTTTGACCATCAAATCAGTGTTCAAATCGCTTTTTAATTAAATTTACATTAATTAAACTTTAAATAAAACTGACTTTTATTTTTCAGATTAGGGTGTAATTGGCGATCAAATCGTGTCCATTGTTTCCGTTTTTTTTGGATCAGTTGGTTGTGTTGACAAACTGTGTTATCGTCTGACCGACAAATCTTTTGTGTATATAACTCAATATCTGAAGACTCTTTCGTTAAGAAACCACAACTCTTTGTTTGAGTTCATCCACTTTTGATTGATCCACACATTGACATCATTTTTAGCGTTCATTATATCTTCAGATAAGAGATACAGAAAAAATTGGTTATAAAAAAATGTATTTTAAAAAACAAATGTCAATCAAATTATAGATCCATTTGTTGTCCATAAAGACTCCGCTGTCGGTAAACTTTTTTTTTTGGTGACATTCAGTAGCCATTGATTTGTTTGCATCTCATCTATCAATAGTTACCACAATTTTTTTTTAATCAACTTCTTATTGGACTTAAAAACTGTTTGGACAACAATACCATTGGTGACTAACCCATATTGTATAGTATAGCTGCCACTTGTTGTTCACGCGATTAATATTTAATACAATTTTAAAGATAAATATATGAATGTCTCGTGAATTACTATTAATTTTATTGTAAATTAGAGAATATTTTCTTTGTTAAGTTTTTCTTGAAAGTTATGTTTCTTTTGAAAGCTATGACTTAAATTTAGTGAACAAAATGATTAATCTAAAGACATTATTTAGACTAATACTTGTCTCACAGGAGACAATGATTAACTGGTGTATAACAATGGGTTTATTATTAGCAACTAAAAAGTGTCCCATTTGTGACAACGAAATGGTAAATAATTAATTTGCAAAAAAATACATTAAAAAATTATTTTCGTAGAAGATAATTGTCAAACAATTATCGTACCGGTGCCACCAAAAGCATGGACAACCTCATGATTATAGACTAAGTGCTTTGAATAATACGTGGTTTTCTGGATCAAAGTTTAGCATTGAAAACATAATAATCTTGACGTACCTGTTTTCGGTCGGCACAACAAAATATGAGGACATTAAACGAGAAACAAGTGATTTAACTAAAACAACATCTCATAACACTATAAGTGATTGGCTTAACTTTTGTCGAGAAGTGGTATTTGATTGGGTCGAAAAATATCAATCAGTTGATCTCTTAGGAGGAGAAGGTAGTATATGATACATATTTAATTATGCACGTTACCTAAACCTAATTATAATGGTAATACCAAACTGATAGTGTATTAGTGTTTGCTCTGTTACCTAACCTGGAGTTCCGACCGCAACCTAAACCTAATTATAATGGTAATACCAAACTGATAGTGTATTAGTGTTTGCTCTGTTACCTAACCTGGAGTTCCGACCGCAAGCTAAACCTAATTATAATGGTAATACCAAACTGGTAGTGTATTAGTGTTTGCTCTGTTACCTAACCTGGAGTTCCGACCGCAACCTAAACCTAATTATAATGGTAATACCAAACTCATAGTGTATTAGTGTTTGCTCTGTTACCTAACCTGGAGTTCCGACCGCAACCTAAACCTAATTATAATGGTAATACCAAACTGATAGTGTATTAGTGTTTGCTCTGTTACCTAACCTGGAGTTCCGACCGCAACCTAAACCTAATTATAATGGTAATACCAAACTGATAGTGTATTAGTGTTTGCTCTGTTACCTAACCTGGAGTTCCGACCGCAACCTAAACCTAATTATAATGATAATATTTTGATAACTTTTAATTCAGGAGTTGTCGTAGAAATTGACGAAACAAAAGTTGGTAAAAGAAAGTACAATAGAG